GAGGAGGAGGAGGAGGAGGAGCAGGGGGAGGAGGAGGAGGAGGAGGAGGAGGAGGAGGAGAAAGAGGAGGAGGAAGGGAGGAGGAGGAGGAGGAGGAGGAGGAGGAGGAGGAGGAGGAGGAGGAGCATGCCGCTTCTTGTTCCTCGGTCACCGGCGCGCGCCTGGGCGCGCCAGCCCGCGGCGCGCGGCCGAGCCCGAGCCCTTGGCAGCCCAGGCCTCCACGCCATCGCGTCTCGGCCGCGGCCGCTGCATGGGGCGGAGGGCCTCCTGCGGCCAGGGCCAGGGCGGGGGCGAGCTCGGGGGTCTCTTGTCGGGGGCGTCCAAAGGAGGGGGTCCGCAAATCACGGCCCGAGGCATGTGTGGGGACGAGGCGGGGGCGGACGCATTGAAAGAAGAAGGGGAAGGGCAACAAAAGTCTGGAGAGAGTTCGTGACACTGGCCATGATGCCCGCCCCCCCCCCCCTAGTCACCCCCTCACTTGGCCGCCCCCGATCTTGGGCCGTCGTGGAGGCTCTCAAAACCCTGAGACCCTGGCGACGCAATTTCTTCTAGCCGGGCGTGTTCGCACACTATCGGGCCCTGTGACAATCAGAGATCGATCCGGCTCGACAATGCGGCAGAAAGATGGGGTCCAGAGCTCTGTCCATGACTTTTCACTGTGTTGCACTTTTTCCGCGTCGTCGGATATCAGGGGACTCTGAAATTCGACATTGCGAGAAAATGGCAACATCGCGAAAAATCACAATCGTAGCCCTATAGACTCCATCATTGCGTGGCACTTTTCGAGCCGCATCGATCCGTGATGGCCCCTGGGCCCGAGACGAGGCAGATCGGCCGCTGCAGCGCCAGGACCTCGGGGACGGAGAAGGCGAGTGCGCCGAAACCGTCACGTCACGCCGCGCCGTCGATAGACGGCCACGGAGGCCGATATCCACGGCACATGGGAGGCCGCGCGGAGCTCGGCGGTCGCCGCCTCGTCCTGCACCAGGCCCAGGGCCTCCACGCGGCGGCGGGACTCCTCGAGCTCCAGGCAGTTCACGTGGCCCTCGCAAGGCGAAGCCAGGACCGGGACAACGTCGGGACGGGACAACAGATCGGAGGGCGCCAACTGCCCCCTGGTTTCCGCAGGTGCCCAAAGGGTTTCGCCGTTTCCAGGAGAATCCCTCGCCTCGGGATGCTCTCCAGCAGCTGCGCCTCGCCGAGGGCTTTCTGGGGCTGCCCGTCTCGTCGTAGCCCGAACGGCCGCTTGGGGCCCAAGTTATGACCCGAAAGCCAGGACCGGGACAATGTCGGACCGGAGCAGATCGGGACAATATCGAGCGCCGCGCCGTTACAGAAAGCCCGACGCTCTGCCTTGAGATCCGTCTTCACAAAAAACTATCCTAGCGAGGGACCGAAACGTGTGAGAGGTGTGCCGGAATCGGGGTGGAACCACATGCGAACCCTGCCACTTGGGCCTTCGGTGGAGCTCCTTATGGGGCAAAGAAGCGTGTGAGGGGTGAGCCGAACTGGGGGTGGAACTGCATGCGAACCCTGCCACTTGGGCCTTCGGTGGAGCGCCTTATGGGGCCACGCAACGTGTGAGGGATGTGCCGACATGAGCGCATGTGAGCGCAGTCACTGTGGCCTCCGGTGGGGCTCCCTCAAGGGCTACGAAGCGTGTGAGAGGTGCGCCGAAATGGACATGCGGAGTGCAGAGGCAGGGGTGGGAGGAGGGAGGAGGGAGAAGGAGAGGAGAGGAGGAACGACGCGGCACGCTGCCCCTTCAAGACGAGGACCCACATCAGGGAGACTCGCGACCGAAGCCCTCGACCCCATCTTTCTTATGTGTTTTTTTCCCGAGCCAGATCGATCCGCGACGGCCCCCAGGCCCGAAGGAAGGCAAAAACGCCTTATGCGAACAAGATGCGACGCCAGGACCTCAGGGTTCCGGAACGCTCTGGAGCGATTCTAGAAGAGGAGCGCGTTCCACTACTCGCATAGTAACTACTCGCAAATGGCCTGGATCCCCTGTGAGGGATCTACGATCAGTTATATCGAAGCAGCCATAGTGTGTTTTTCTGACGTTTGCGAGTAGGCACTTTGCGAGCAGTGGAACGCGCTCGATGAACCCTGGTCCCAGCCCCGCCCGACCTCGCCCTCGATGCCGGGCGGCGCCCAGGACAGGACGAGCCCCTGCCCAGCATGGCGCGCCAGGTTCGAGAGGAAGACGTGCTCGCGCTCTGGTGGGACGTGCTCGGCGACCTCCAGGCACAGCACCCAGTCGAACGGGCCAGGGTGCCACGGCACCGCGAGCTCCTCGGCCAGGTCGGCCTGGGTGACGGCGCCGCCCGTGAGCTCCGTGACGCCCTCGACGCCGTCGAAGGCGAAGGCGGTGACCCAGCCCGTGTCGTTCAGCCATTTGGAGTATTGCCCGTCCAGGGAGCCGAAGTCCGCCAGGGAGGCGCCTGAGGGGGGGGCCCCGGAGGTATACCGACGCCGCTGCTCCCCGGACCTCAGGGGCGCGTTCTGCCCAGGATTTCGGGGCGGATCCTGCCGTGGCGACGAGGAGCGGTGCGGCGGTATCGGCATCGCTTCCTCCGCCGAGCACCGGGGGGCAGGATCCGCAGCAGCCTGCGGAGCAGGCCCTTGTCGACGATGGCGGACTCTGGGAACAGCGTCCGGTAGACCACCGTGGAATTGATGAACATGCCGTGGGCCTGGCGTCGTGTGGCAACAGCCAACAACGCAGCGCGACGCCGACGTCTCCCCAGTGACACACGCGCCACGGCAGCCACAGACACACCAAGCACCGCGAACACATCCGCCTGCGACAGGAAAGCCCCCCTACGCAGACGCTCGACACGCGACACACGACAAGGAAGCACCACGAACGCCGAGCGGCCAACACCGTGATAGAACTCGTGGCAAGGGCCTCGTGGCCCCAGAAGAGGCTGTCGTCGGCCAGGGCGCCAGGCAGCGCGGACGCGAGGTGCCCGAACATGGCCTCCACGTGCCTGCAGAGGCCTCCCACGCGGGGTCCGAGTGCGGTCGGGAGCTTCTGCTCAGCGTGTCGCGGCGGCGGTCCTGGCGACACGCTCCTGCCATGCGAGCGGAGCGTTTGGCTCCGCTCCGCGGGGCGGGAGGCTCAGAACAGCTCGGGACGTGGACGTCCGCGGACCGGGAAATGGATAGCGTGTCGCGCCGAGGCGCGGTGGGCCCGAGCCGTCGGAGCGACACGCTGAGCCAAAGTTCCTTACCACAAATGGGGTCGGAGGATCACGTCACATCGCCGTTGCATTGCCAACGTCGGCGATGCATCGACGACGTCGGCGTGGGGAAAATCGCCAATGCATCGCGGAATCCACACCGATCCGCATCGCCGGTGCAATTGGAATGCGTCGCGATCTTCCGACCCCATCTGGTCGGACCCAATTTGGGAGGCCTGGAGAGGCCTCAGCGTCTTGAGCACTGCCTGTGGGGGAACAGGAAGGTACCGATACCGCTGCTCCCTGGACCTCTCCCGCGACGCATTCCGACCAGGATTTCGAGGCGAACCTGGCCGTGGCGACGAGGCGCGTCCAGAGAAGTTTCCCTTGCGACCGTGTGCCACCCCGCGCCTTGCCCCATACCTAGACCCCCGACGTCATGACGTCGATCCACAGAGGTCTGGACCCCTTCCCCGACCGGTCTTGCGTCCAGAGTCGTTGTTTGACGGCCCCGAGGCCCGGAAGAGGCCCCCAGAAGCCGAAAAGAACGAAAAGTCTCCCGTCGTGATTTTTTCATTGCTCGAGCGGGCCTGGGTCCTGTGCAAGACTTCCTCCGCAGACGGGCACGTTCCAGGCCGCTCCAGAACGCCATCGACATCTGGGAAAGCAAGCAGAGGCCGAGGCCGCGGCTCCCCGGACCTCTCCCGCGGCGCATTCCGACCAGGATTTCGAGGCGAGTCCAGCCGTGGCGAGGCGCCTCCAGAGGAGTTTCGGTTGCAACTGTGTGCCGCGCCCACGCCCTTCCCCACCTCCTGTGCACGGCTTCCTCCACAGACGGACACGTCCCAAGCCGCTACGGAACGGAGCGGCATCGGCATCTACGAAGCTCCGCCAGAACCGAGACTGGGACAACATCGGACCGGGACGGATCAGGGATCTTCCGGACCGCTCTGAGAGCGTTCGGGGACGCTCCAGAGCGCCTGATCCCGGTCCTGGGCCCGCCCGAGGGGCCTCCAGGTGCTTTGCGGGGCTGTTCGTGTTGGAGTACTGCCCGATGTCGAACATCCACCACATCGTGGACAGCTGCTGCCGCAGCGCGTCGCTTAGGGGCAGCAGGCCCTGCCCCAGCGCCAGCCGTGCGGCCGAGGAGAAGCACCGCTTACGGGCCATGGCCACCAGCCCCAGCAGCTGCGCCCCATCCTCGAGGGCAGAAAGAAGCACCCAGACCTCGAGAGTGCTGGACGAAACTCGATGCGGAGGTTTCAACCTCTGGGGGCCCCCGCCAGGCCCCAGGAACGTCAAAAAACGACCCAGGATGAAAGACGGGTCCCGGGGAAGGGGCCCAGACCTCCATGCAGGGGTCTACGTTGTGACAAAATCACGGCGTCGGAGTTCTGGGCCGCACCCTCATCATGAGCCCCCCTACAAGCGAAGCCTTCCGGTAAGCACACGGACAGAAGGAATCGAACAGGGCAAGACTGCCCAGAAAACGTCCAGAGCCGTTTATCGGCGGCGCGCCGAGGGGGAAGTGAGAGGGGCCAGGCCTTCTCAAAGGCGTCGGGGCCTCTCAGAAGCCCTCTCGCCTTCTGAGAAGCCGGCTCTGTCTTCGGAGAAGGCTAAGACAGCTTCTCGGAAGGCCGGAGGCCTTCTGAACCTTCTGACGAGGCCCACCCCCTGGGCGCGCTGCCGATTGCTTGTCGGGTCCCAGCTCGGGCCTCCGGCGGTCGTTCTGGACGATCCGGGCATCCCGGGAACGCTCTCGCCGAGGCGCAGGCTGCCAGACAACCACCTGGAGGCCCGAAAACCTCCAGGAACCGACGTCGGGGGGGATTTCCCTCCCTCGACGTCCCAAGGCACTGGGCGCGCGCCGCCGAGTTTGATTCAACGCCAGTCGCCGGGGTCGGGGCAGGGAGGAGGAGGAGGAGGAGAGGAGGAGGAGGAGGAGGAGGAGGACGACGACGAGGAGGGAGGAGGGAGGAGGGAGACGTCCAGGGCCCGCCGCAGGGTCTGCGCCGCGCCGCCGAAGAGCACGGCGTAGGGCGTCACGGCGCCCTCCGAGTCCGTGGCGTAGCCCTGCAGCTCGAGCGCCTCCAGCAGCTGGGGCACCCTCTCGACGAAGAGGCCGAGCGCGGCCGCGGCCTCCTCTCGTGGGGACAGGGGCAGGGGGTCAGTCAGGAGCGGCACAAGTTCTACCGCCACCAGCTAGGGGGGTGGCCGCTCCCTCCCTTCGAGCTGGTGACCGCTTCCTCCCCGAGGGTGGGACAGCCACCCCCCTAGCTGGTGGTAGTGGGTACTTTCGCCTCTGGTGAGTCAGTGAGAATCGGATCGGGGGATCGGATCGAATCGGTCTGTGCGTCGGTCGGGTCGGAGTTGACCCTGAAATCTGGGCGATGCAACTTATCGCGCCGAGCGTGTTCGCCCATCTTCGGGCCCCGGGACCATCACGGATCGATCCAGCTGGCGAAAAATGCAGCAGAAAGATGGGATCTGGGGCTCTGGTCATGTTTTTGTTGCGACGTTGCAAGTGCGTCGCAACGTCGGACCTCACGGAAATCGGCACACAGTCAAAATCGAATCGGATCGACTGCATCGGGATCCACAAAAACGTCATGCAAACATCTACAAGGATGCATCGGAATACCGGAATCGAATCGGATCAAGCCGGCCGAAATCGATATCGAATCGGACCGATCGGAACGGAATGGACCCTCGGGGAGGGAACAAGAAGATACCGATGCCGCCTCTCCCTGCACCTCTCGCAGGGTGGGTTCCTCTCCTCGCCTCCCCGCGCTGCGAACAAAAACATGACGGGAGGTTTTGGCCGTTTTCGGCCTCCGGGGGCCCTCGCCAGGCCCTGGGGCCGTCAAAGAACAAGCCGAAACGAAAAACCTGTTAGGGGTCTTGACCTCTGGGAGGTCAAGGCTGTGGAAAGATCACGACGTCGGAGCCCTGGGCAAGTAGGCCACCCAAGTTCGCGCACCGCGCTCCATGATGCGCGACGCGCGGTTACGGTAAGGACGTTGGATACGAAACCATTGGACGAGGAATCCAGGGTCTAGAAGCAGATGGAACTCCAACCGTGGATTGGCCATGGATATCACAGCCGCCCTCATCAGATAAAATATTCCTCCAGGGCTTTTTTTCCCCGTCACAACCAAGCCATAACCCCACCGTTAAGCATGCATGCCGAGAGCATTGCCTACGCCGGACAGATACGATCATCATGGCACAGAATTGCACCACCAAACTGCTAAACATAGCCGTTGTGGACAGAGCGCAGTACGCAACCCCGAGCGTGGCGCAGGTGCCTGCCAAGGGAGAAGAGGGGAGGGGGAAGAGGGAACGGACGAACGAGCAAGAGAGCGGGGAAGGGGGAGACAAGGCACACAGACAGATATAAGCTCCCCGCGGCTGTATGTCAGACCAGCGAGCGACGGGAAGACGGACCTGGCAAGTGGGAGGAGAGGGAGGAGTGGCCAGCGGCGAAAAGAATCCTCCAGGGTCTGAAGCCTCTGGGGCGCACTCCTTGCAACCAACGCCCCCACCGCAACTATCTGCGCGACCTGGCGAGGCCGCCTTGTGGAGAAGGGCGGCTCTCCAGCCCAGGCCGCGACGCGCGGAGGCCGACAATCGTCGCGCCCCTTGGGGTGACCGAGGCGCTCTGGGCAGAGACTCGCGGAGTGAAGGCAGCCACGGCGGCGAGGGACGGGCAGCGGCATCGGCACCGTCCCAGAACCCCGAGGCCGCGATTTCTGCGCAGCGTGGGCCCACGATGCGCGAAGACGTAGCATCGCTCGAGGGTGATGGAGGAAGGGGATCCCGCCCCCTCTGGAACAAGCTGCGCGGGGGCCTCTCGTTCCCCTCTCGGTAAGTAATTACTCCCACTCGGCAAGACCCGCCGGATTGCCCCCCCCCGCCCCGCCCCCCCCCGCGCCCCCCACCCCGAAACTCCAACGTCGTGATCTCGACCCCTTCCCCGGGAAAAATTGTTTCGTCCCCGGGAACTTTTTTGACCAGGGCCCGGCAAGGGCCCCCGGAGGCCGAAAGCGGCCAAAAATCATATGTGTAGTTTTTTGTCGCGGCGATAAAGAGGTCGTGCTGCAAGAGATCTAGGGGCACGCTTGCCGTCGAGCTCTGAGCTCCCTGCGGTGGGGAACAAGGTGCTCCTGTGGGGCACCTGCTGACAGCCCTGCGTCTTGTTTAACGAGGCCCGGACGCCAGACGACAGACGACATTGATCAACCCTGTGTCTTGATTATCCCTGTCCTCAGGCGCCAGACGACACTGATCAATGTTTGATGGTCCCGAGGCCCGATGACGGGACACAGAGGCCGAAACCAGGGGAAAACGCCAGGATCGAAATCAAGCAGGCAGTCGGAGATCTGGGCCGCCGTGTGTCTCGACTGGCACACGTCCCGAAATGAGAACGGCACAAGGTAGAGTCACCGATACCGCTGTTCCCCAGGCACCTCCTGCAGCGCCCTCTGACCAGGACTTCAAAGCGAACCAGATGGACCCCCGAGACGAGCAGCGGTATCGACACCCGTTCCTTCCATAACCTAAGAGACGCTTCCCTATCCAAAATCCTCGGGTCTTCGACGCCTGGTGAATTTCGGGTGAACTCGGCCCGGCAGCCGTTCGGGACGATCCGGGCAGCCCAGGAAAGCCCTCGACGAGGCGCAGCTGCTGGAGAGCACCCCGAGGCGAGAAAACCGCCAGGAGCCGACGAAATCTTCTTCTTCTCCCCCTTCGACGACGAAGACATCGCTTCTTGCAGGCGGCCTGGGGGTCTGAACTGGATGAGCCCCGAGGAGATCGGTCAAAGGGGGCGCAATCTGGTCAAAATCAGTCCCCGACCCATCCCCGGGTCCATCTGGTGCAATTTTGCACTCCGGATCCGTTCTTGATGACCCCAAAGAAAACAACCCCTGGAGGCTGAAAGGGGCAAGAAACCTTCTCGAACCCAGCACCTCGGACCCCCTTGCCTCCCATGCCTGCCAAAACCAGTGCTGGGCCACCTCAGACCCCAGCCGAGTTCAAATCGCGATGATATGCGCGCGAGCACCAGCATGTGGGCAGTGGTTCCAGGCCACCCCCTGCGTACCACGATCGTTACCATTACCCTGGGGGGAGGCTTGGCTGGGCGAACATTACGCGCCAGAAGATACAACAGCAATCACGGAAATCCTCGGTCCCGCGCTCTACGGTGCGCAGGACCGCCTGGTGCGCCAGGCCGCAGGGGGAGGCGGGGTCGTTCAGCACCGCGGCGGGCACCGTCTCGCCGTCCGCCTCCCCGAGGAACCCGGGCCACTCCAGCGCGCCCGGCCACGCAGCAGACGAGGCCTCCTCTCGGAAGGCTTTCGCACGCTAGGGGGGGGGATAGGCTCAGGGCTTCGAACTTCGAGGTTCGAGGCCTCGGGGCGTTCTCGGCGGTTCTCGGCGGCTCTCCCGCCTCGGGGTGCTCTCCTGCAGCTGCGCCTCGCCGAGGGCGTTCCGCGGGCGGATCGTCCCGCACGGCCGTCCGAGACCCGAGATATTGACCCGAAGGCCAGGCCTCCCGGCGCTGCGAGGACATCCCGGCGGAGGGCGTCTGTTCCTGTTCGGCACGGGGCCCCGAGGCCGTCAGAGAACGCAGCTCGGGACGAGAAGCCGGACCCCGGGGAAGTCGGTCCTCGACGGTTTTCCAGCCTCGGCCTTCCAGCACCTGCGCCTCGCCGAGAGCTTCCCCGGGGCTGCCCAGATTGTCCCGAACGGCTGCCGGAGGCCCGAGCCGTGACCCGACGACCAACTGCCCAGACCCCCAAGGCGGCACGGGACAAGTGACACGCGTGCCCTGGCTCTTGCACGAAGGAGCTGCGAGGGAGAGGAGGTTTTCGCCTCCTTCCTCCAGGAGTTTCCTTCTGTGGCCGTGGGGGGAGGGAGGAGGACGAACGACGACCGAACGAACGACGCCGACGAAAATGAAGAGGTCCGAGCTCTAGAACACAGCTGTGCAAGAGAATGGAAACTTACAGAAGAAGTAGTCCAGACCTCCGAGGGTCCACGTTGTGAGCAAACATCCAGCCGTGGTGCTCGAAGGTTATCGCGGCTGCCTGGAGGCCCTCTCGCCTCGAGATGCTTTCCGGCAGCTGAGCCTCGCAGAGGACTTGCCGGGGCTGCCCGAATCGTCCCGAACGGCCGCCAGAGGCCCGACTCATGATCCGAAAACGAAACCTCCTCGCGCCGTGGAAATATTACGACGGAAGGCGTTTCGCCACTGTCGGCCTCCTGGGGCCCTCGCCAGGCCCTGGGACCACCAAGTTTTCGCGTCCCTGAGATCCTGGCGTCGCAATTCTTTTGCAACGGGCGATTTCGCCAAGTTCGGGCCCCGGGACCCTCGCGGGTCGACGCGCGCTGGGGCCTGGGACAATAAAAAACGAGCTGGGGCGAGATGTGCCCGCCTGGCCGAGCCTTGAGAACGTGCACGCCGATCTTGGGGCTCGGACCGACCTGGCCAAGATCGGTGCATGTGTGCTACTCTGAACTCCGATGCCGTGATTTTTCGCAGCGTGGACCCCCGGATGTCTGGACCCCTTCCCTGGGGTCTGGCTTCTCATCCCGAGCCGCGTTTTCTGACGGCCACGGGGCCCCGTGCCGAACAGGAACAAACGCCCTCCGCCGTGATGTCCTCACAGCGCCGGGAGGCTTGGCCTTCGGGTCATACCTCGGGTCTCTGACGCCCGTTCGGGACGATCCACCCGCGGAACGCCCTCGGCGAGGCGCAGCTGCAGGGAAGCACCCCGAGGCTGGAAAACCGCCGAGAACCGACGAGAATGTCCCGAAGCCTCAAACCTCGACCTTCGAAGCCCTGAGCCTATCCCCCCTAACGTTGGCCCTGATGGGGTTGGCGCCCCCACCTGCTCCTCCTCCTCCTCCTCCTCCTCCTCCTCCTCCTCCTCCTCCTCCTCCTCCTCACTCCTCCTCCTCCTCCTCCTCCTCCTCCTCCTCCTCCTCCTCCTCCTCACTCCTTCTCCGCACTCATCCTCACTCCTCCTCATCCTCATCCTCCTCCTCTCCTCATCACTCCTCCTCCTCCTCCTCCTCCTCCTCCTCCTCCTCCTCCTCGTCCTCCTCGTCCTCCTCTTCACTCCTCCTCCTCCTCCTCCTCCTCCTCTTCCTCCTCCTCCTCCTTCCTCCATTCCTTCTTCTAATGGATACCTCCTCCCTGTCGCACCCCGAGGCCAGTCGGCAAGGTGGGCCGGACGTTTCGCCTGAGAGCTCCTTACCATTTATGAGCCTCAAGCCGGGAAGCTGGCAACAGCTTCACAGATGGAGGGCGGGTCGGTTCTAAAATACAGCTCTCGCCTTAGCGCCGCGCACATTCTTTTGAAACAATGCAAGGGTCTCACGGATTGAGGGCGGATCGTTTTCAATCTGGGGCTCTCGCCTCAGCGCCGCGCACATTTGTTTGAAACATTTGCAAAACAAATCACGGATTGAGGGCGGGTCGGTTTCAAAATGTGGCTCTCGCCTAAGCGCCGCGCGCATTCGTTTGAACAGACTGCGAGAGCTTTACGGATTGAGAGCGGTTCGTTTTCAAAATGAAGCTCTTGTCTTAGCGCCGCGCTCATTCGTTTGACACATGTGCAAGAGTTTCAAGAATTGGCGGCGGCTCGTTGTCAAAATGTGGCTCTCGCCTTGGCGCCGCGCACATGCGTGTGAAACATGTGCAAGGGTTTCAAGAATTGGGGACGGTTCCTTTCAAAATGTAGCTCTCGCCTGAGCGCCGCGCACATTCTCTTAACGGGCTTGCAAGAACTTCATGTATTGAGAGCGGCTCGTTTTCAAAATGTTGATCTCGCCTTAGCGCCACGCGCATTCTATTTCAAACCATGCAAGCTCCACGGATTCCCATGGTTAACGTACCAGACATGGTGTTTGTTGTTTTGTTTGTTGGAACGGTTCATGGTTCTCAGGGCGCAACAGCTACGTTGATTCGAAGTTCCAGTAACGATGTTCTAGCACGGTTTTGGATCGTCAAGATGCAGCAGTCAGGTTGACTCGTGGCGTTGAACTCCTGACAATTGTGTTTTGGCACGCTTCAGGATTTTCACACGGCTGTCGCCCAACGAGGTACTTCCCCCAGTGGAAATGAACCCTTGTAGGGGCCTGGGAAGAGCTCTGAGGGAGGGTGTATTCCAGCATCGATGATGCGCTTCGAGTTTACACTGGTCCCACCCATAACGTTGCCCCTGGCGGGGTTTGCCTCCCCCCCCCCCCGATCCTCCGACAGCGCCTGGGGGAGCACCGCGGCGAGGCAGGCCAGCCCGCGCATGGCCGCGGACGCGCCACCCGTTGCTGGGGAGAGGCCGCGCCTCAGGACGCGCGGGGAGCGCGAGCCCAAAGCGGCCTGGCGCGCTGAGGCGTGGCAGGATGGTGATGATGGCGATGACGATGACAATGCCGAAAACGATGGGCATCGTCATCGTCATCATCACCATCACCACCATCACATCACCATCACCATCACCATCACCATCAAGATCACCATCATCATCATCATCAGCATCATCATCATCATGACATCATGGTCATCATCATCATCATCATCATCATCATCATCCTCATCCTCATGATCATCATCATCATCATCATCATCATCATCATCAGCATCACCATCAAGATCACCATCATCATCATCATACTCATCGTCATCATCATCACCATCACCACCATCACCATCACCATAATAATAATCATCATCATCATAAACATCACCATCACCTTCACCATCATCATCATCATCATCATCGTCATCATCATCATCATCATCATCATCGTCATCACCACCATCATCATCAACATCACCATCACCTCCACCATCATCGTCATCGTCATCGTTATCATCACCACCATCATCAGCACCACCACCATCACCATCATCATTAGCATCAGCATCAGCATCACCATCAACATCATCATCAGCATCAACATCATCATCATCATCGCCACCACCATCATCATCATCACCATCACCATCACCATCACCATCATCATCATCATCATCATCATCATCATCATCATCATCACCACATCATTACATCATCATCGTCATAACCATAATCATCCTCATCATCATCCTCTTCCTCCTCCTCATCATCATCACCATTACCGCCATCGTCGCCGTCATCATCAAGAACACCATCATCGTCATCGTCACCATAATCATCGCCATCGAGGAAGAGGGGGGTGCTCATCACGACGGAAGGAATGTGCTCGGACGAGGGGTTCCCGCCCCTTTGGGGAGCCCGCGCCGAAGGCGCCAGAGGAGCGCGAGCCCGAAGCGGCCTGGCGCGCTGAGGCTCATCAGGGCGGGCCAAGGAGCGTGTTGAAAGAAGGCGAGGAGGGCAACAAATTCGCGGTGCATCATGGCTCCGGCCACGATGTCCACCCCCCCCTTGGACGTCCAGTCCTCATTCCCATCGTGGACGTCCCCGAGCCAGGAGCTCTGTCAGGGATCCTGAAATCTTCTCACGGACCCCACCCCCTCCAGGTCACACACAGCCCCATGCGCCGCCACCCCACAGTCCTTGTGAAAAATGTTCGCCAGCGTGGGGTCCAAAAAGTAAGGTATTGCCCAGTGGATGTGAAAATTTACTGGTGCAAGCTCTGTGGTGTAAGCTATGTGGTGCAGCATTCGTGGTGCAAGCTCGCGACGGCAACGAAGCGGCAAAGGGCGGCAACGTGGCGAAACCTCGCCTGCGTCGCCGGATCCACCGAGCGCACGATGTGGCAACGAGGCGGCAACGGGCGGCAAAGTGGCGAAACCTCGCTGGACCCATCCAATTCCTTGGTAACATCAGCAAGATCCCCTATACGTGCAAGCACAATTTGGGGATCAATGAGGCCGCTCCTCCGAGGCCGGGACTCCCGATCCCGATAAAAATGGTTGGCCCGCTCTCCCCAGGCCGCGATATCGTGCAAAGAACTCATGACGCGCGCTCCCGATGCCGCAATCCTTTTCGGAGAACGGCGGATCCGCGCCCCCGAAGGCACAAGCCATAATAAAGAAACGATGGCAGATTGTTTGTCATGTTTTGATTATTTCCAGTAACGGTCGCTACCTGGGAGGGGGGGGCGAGGGTGTGCTGCGAACGGCAGCGGATGCGCGCGAACGCCAGCATGCAGAGGGGGGTACAAGCACCCCGTCGACGTACGATCGCTACCGCTACCAGGTGCGTGTGTGGCCCAGGAAATGACCGTGGGGATGAACAATCTCTAGAATCGCTGCCCCGAGATTCTAAGACGGCCGATGCAGGCAACCAAGGTCCCAAGATGCCACCAAGACGGCGCCAGATGGCCCCAAGGCGGCCCAAGCTTACACACGACGGCCCAAGAAGGGACACAGGAGGACCACCAGCAGGGCCCGCAGAAGCAAAAACCATAGATGTCCCGATGTTGTGAACAGTTTGCGCCTTCACATTGTCGGGCTTCCTTCAATTCCAGAAAATCCTGGAAGCCCACCAGATGGCCCCGGGACGGCCACGAGGGCCCTCAGATGGCCCAGCAATGCTCGAAGACGGCCTCAAGCTATCCCGAGAGGGTCCCTAGATGGCCCGAAGAGAGCCCCAAGGTGGCCCAAGAGGGCATCCAGAGGCACCCCAGACGGCCGCAAGACCCCGCAGACGGCCAAGAAGGCCTCGAGACGGCCCAAGAGAACCGCAAGACGACCCAAGAGGGCCGGAAGACGGCCCCAGGTGACCCAAGAGACCGCCTAAGACAGCCCCACAGGAGCCCAAGAAAAGACGAAAGAAAAGGAAGATGACGACGAAGACGAGAAGATAACCCCCGACGCGACGCGGAAGAGTCTGTCATATGTCAAGGCTCTCCCACAGCTCGAGTCACGAGGTGTCGCACCTGACAGCCTCCTGTGCGCCCCCCGAACGGTCGCCACCCAAAGTTCTGGGATGGCACGGTGGCGGGACTTACCGCAAGCAACTGGATATCCTTCAAGGGGCCCAGAGCCCGAATTGCGGGATTGCCGGGGGCGCTCCGAAGACTTTTGAGGTGCGTCGCGCGACTTGTCCTGAGCTAGAGAGCTCCAAGACTAAGAAGCTCCCAAGGGCCCCAGGACAGTCCAACTTGCCTCGATACAGCCCAGGACCCAGGAGCGCTCCGAGACGATCCAAGGTGCCTTCCAGACGGCCCACGAGGCAACCCTAACGGCCCACGAGGGCCCCAAGAGGACCTCCAAGAGGGCCCTAACGATCCCTAAAGAGGCTTCCAATATGTCGAAGAGGCCTCCCGAAGGCCCCAGGAGCCTCCTCGAGAAGCTTCCAAAAGGCCCTCGAGAGGCACCCCGAGAGACCCCAACAGGCACCCAAAAGGCCTCTGGCCCACGACCCACCCAGCCACGAAGGCGGGACGGGCCGAAGGCCACTGGCTACGCGACAACGAAGGAGGCAGGCAGGAGAGAGGGAGCGAGAAAAGAGAGAGAGAGAGAGAGAGAGGGAGAGGGAGAGAATGAGCCCCCCCGTCCCAGCGGCCTCATCAGGACGGCGCGGAAGCGGCATGGGCCAAGGTGGCTGCGGCCACGGCTCGGGCCTGATTGGCCAGATCAGGCCGCAAGAGCCGACCAGACTGCACTGGACCACCGCGAGACGGACCAGGCCAAGGCGGTGGACAAAACCTGACCAGGATACACCAAAGGAGAGCGAGCCACCAGTTGTGTTCGCAAGCCCGTCGCCCGACGAGTGCGGATGCACAGGCGGCGAGGTCCACCAGCGAGAAGGGGCGCGACGCAGAGAGGCGGACGGGGAGGAACAAAGCAAAAAACGACAAAACCTTCAAATGTGAACAACAAATTAACCTAACAGAGACCAACCGCAAGCGCGAAGGCCAGATCAAACATGACAAAAACAAAGCGACAGGGGCTCGAGTCGCGAAAACAGGCAGGAGCGGCTTGAACGATGGTACTTCCTTATGCTCACGGCTGCGCAGACCGAACACACGATTTCGGCACACGAATTACTTCGCCAGGCCATACCAGACTGGACCGAACGCGACAAACGATGGCCATACCACACCAGGAAAGGCCAGTGTGTGCTAGACCACGCAGGGCTTGAGCAGGGCCCTGGCCGCCGGATGAGCTGGCGGGAGCGCGCGACGTGTTTGCAACACTGCGGTGCTGGCTGGGAACCGTAGCCGGCAAGCAGTTGACACGGCTGCACCCAAAGAGTGGCCCGACGCAGGAGGAGTGACCTCTGGTGCGCGGCCTGCCGAGGGCTGCGCGCGATGCGCACGTAGCGGTCGGCGTGCTCGGATTTGGCCCCCCCCCCGGGGGCCCCCACCGGAAGCCACACCAGAGGCCACCCTGGCGGGTTCCAGAAACCCTGACCCCTCACCACTGGCACCGGAGCCTTCGACCAGAGTCTTCGGCGCCACTCTTCCAGCCAGATCGACCTGTTTGTGTCCCGAGGCCCGAAGCCCAGGGGGAAACGCCAGGCGCGAACCAGTTGCAGCGCCTGGTGCCTGAAGGGCTGCATGTGGCTTTCGGCAGCTTCCGCTGGCCTCCGCCGTCGGAGCCGCCGCCCGTCTTTTGCTTGCGCCGCTTCTGCCGGCCTTCCGCCGCCGTCTGCCGAGGGAGAGATGCCACCTCCATGGACCATCGAAGTCCGCGTCACGTGTCGCCGCTACTAGCCGCTGGGAGATCTCGACAACGTGAGCTGAGTTGGGCCACTCTGAGCTGCGCGGGGCTGCTCTCGGCTTCACTTAGCTTTGCAAAGCGGAGAACGCTTTTCCAGCCCCCTGTGGGGGCCAGGCTACGCTAAGCATGCTTGAGCCCAAGTTAGCCAGGCCGAGCCGAGCTGGGCCAGGTCGAGGCGAGCTTAGCCAAGACACGCTGTACTTGCTAGACTAACTTCCAGCCAAGACAACTAAACAGGTAGACGTACACTGGACAAGGCACATCCAAATCGAACGCCAAGCAGCAGCCTGAAGCTGAAGCCAAAGCTGACATCAGTTCCGGAACTAGATACAGCACTGGAGATACGTCCGAAGCCATCGCTACGTACGCGTTGTTTTCTTTGACAGCGGACGCTGCAAGTAAGACTGAGGACATGTGTAAGGCTTCATCGCCAACCATACCACTACCAGCAAAATTGTCCTGCTCATGAGCCTCACCTTTCTTTCTCTTCTCCGTCTCCCCGTCGTCGACACCCTCTTCCTCCTCCTGCTTCTTCCTGCAAGTTCTCATCCTTGTGCTCCTCCTCCTCCTGGACATCATCCTCATTGTATCTCTTGTCCTCCGTGATAACGATGCGGGGGGGGAGGGAGAACGAGAGATACAGAGAACGAGAGAGAGAGAGAGGAAGAGAGACATCGAGAGAGGAAGAAAGAGAGAGAGAGAGAGAGAGAGAGAGCAGGATAAGGATACTGATAATCATGACGCGGACGAGAGGGTGAGGAGTGAAGAGGAGGAGGAGGAGGAGGAGGAGGAGGAGGACGAGAGGGTGAGGAGTGAAGAGGAGGAGGAGGAGGAGGAGGAGGAGGAGGAGGAGGAGGAGGGAGCGAAAAGTAGGAATGGGGGGAGTGAAGAGAGACGAGCGGAGTGGGAGGCACGTCTCGGGACCCCAGGGGCCTGGCGGCGGTCCAGGTCCGCTATCTGCGCCTGGATGGCCTTCTGGCCCTCGAGGATCAGGTTGCAAGTCTCATCGAGACCGCGCGGGCCAGGATCCTCGCCCCACGCAGGGGGGAGCACAAGATTGACCTGCGGCCTTCGAAGCACCTCCTCACCATCCTCCTCCTCCTCCTTCTCCTCCTCCTCGTTTTCCTTGACGCGTCGTCGGCCTCCTCTCAGACATCCGACGATTCTTTTGTTCAGTGCAGGCCCCCCAGAAATCTCGACCCTTTCCCTGCAACCGTCTTCCACCCTGACTTGTTCGTGGTGACTATCCCGGGGCCCGACAACGGCCCCTGAGCGCCGATAGCGGCGCACACAGCCCCGTCTTGACTCTGTCGAGGCGTTGGATGCAGGGGGCTTCCTTCCTCGCCCTCCCTCCCTCCTTCGAGGATCTCGTGGGTCAGCGCTGGACCCTCCCTGGCGGCGCCTCTCGCGCTGCCCCTGACGTGCTCTGCGTGCCAGGGAGGGTGGTCCAGCGCTGGCCCAAGAAATCTGCGCGGACCTTCGAACGCCCGCAGTTAGGCAACATGGGTCTCGTCTGCGACTCCTCCTCGGCCTCATTTTTGGGCGCAAGGGCCGGCCGCACGCAAGACTGACCCCAGAGTGGCCTTTGGCGCGTGGCTTGCCAATCAATGCATGGGCACCACCGAATGTCGCGCACCAAAGGCGAGGGGGAACAACGTGGGGGACCAGATAGCGAAACCGCACGTTCCTTGGCGTAGTGGGATCTCGGGCCCCCTATCGGCAATGAATGGGCGATCGGGGGTCGATGCGTCCACCCTTGGGCGCATTCCCCCGCAACGTTGCCCCTGCCCCGCGCCCACCGAGTGCCGCGCTCCGGAGGCCACTATTGCGAAGGATTGCTCGTTCTGTTTAGCCGCCATGGGGCCCCCGAGAGGCCCGCTCGCAGCTGGCGGGGCCAGCCGACCGACGGCCTCCTGATCGACAGCCACGATCTCGAAAGCTCACCCCGGATCCCCATCACGGCGGCCTGGGGGGGCCCTTGCCAGACGGCCGGGGCCCTGAGGAGTCGGGGCGGAAAGCCGGCCCCTGGGGGCAAGATCGGCGGCGGACCCGGGGGGGAAGGCAGAAGAGGCGGGCCTTCGGGGAAGGCTCACAAGGCCTCCGGCCTTCTCCAGAGGCTCTTTCAAAGCCTTCTGCGAAGCCACAGACGGCTCCTCAGAAGGCTGGAAGTCTTCTGAGAAGGCCTGTGTGGCTTCGGAGACGGCGCCTCCAGCGCTGCCCCTGGCGTGCTCCGCGTGCCAGGGAGGGGGGTCCAACGCCGATCCAAGAGATCCGCGCGGACCTCCGACAGTCTATGTTTATAGCTGCTGTTCTGATTCGATTGGGGTTTTGTCGCCTCGGGAAGCTTTCCATCAGCTTGGGGGCCCCGGCCAACCGCCACGACCTCGATCGAGAAAATGTGGGCGGCGCCCGCGCAGATCTAGCACCAGGGGGGCGGCCTTCTGAGAACGCGGAGGGAAGGCAGGGGCCTTCTTGGAAGGCCCGGGGGGCTTCTAAGAAGGCTCCTTAGAAGCAGGGCAGGCTTCTACAGTCAAAATCTGTAGTGAGGGCGCGCTGCAAGGACGCAAGACCCTTGGACGGTCCTTGGACGCCCCAGTTGAAGCTGTTCTATCGGCGCGCTGCCGAACAAAATCTAAGGACGCAAGGGTGCCCTTGGGAAGGTTACCCGTCCTTACTATGGGTTTTCACTGTAAGAACCCCCCCTGCCTTCCTTAGAAGCACCTTCCGCCTTCTCAGAAGCCCACCCCCCTCGCGCCACCCCCTCGTGGGCGCTGCCACGAAGAGTTAATAGACGTGGCATTTCCCCATCGTCGACCCCCCCCCGGTTTCATCCCGAGTCGTTTCTTTGCGGTCCAGAGGCCCGGCGAGAGCCCCGAGAGGCCGAAACGGGCAACACAAACATCTCCATTGCGATGTTTTCGCGACGCGAATCTCTATCGACCGAAGGATGATCGGCGGGATAGCGACGACGCCGACGACGACGACGACGCCGACGCCGCCGCCGCCGCCGACGACGACGGCGGCGGCGGCGACCGCGGCGCCGACGGTGACACTCGGGGAGAGAGTCGGGGGATTGGGGGCCAGCCGGCGTGCGGAGGGGGGAGTGGAGACAGGGGGCAGGGGCAATTGGTGGGACTGCAAGGGGGGAAGGATGCACACCGTGACTACCCCATCTGATGCATTTAGGCATGGCACCGTGCCTCTCAACGGCATTGAGGACAGCGACCACCGTTTCAAGCCGTTCTGGGGGCAGCAGCTGGTAATGACGAGGGTACAATCCATCCCACGTTTGCGCCGTGGCTGCTGGGAGGGGCCTGGATTCCTTCGCCACCATCTCCCCCATGATGGGGGGAAGGGCAGCGGAGGGGTAGGCGGGCACGTACGACTGCAGGAGAGGACAAGGGAAGGGGTGGAGGGGAGGGGAGGAGGGGTGAGGGGCGAAGGCGGAAGAGGAGCGGTGGGGGATGGGTTCCGAGGGCCTCCGAGCGCCTCTGGGAGCCTCCGAGGGCCTCCGAAGTAGCCCCTCGCTCCGCTCCTCTGGCGAGTCCAGCGCCGCCGCCGCCTCGTTGTTCTCGGCGTCCAGCGCCTCCTTCGGAGGCCGCCCAAGTGGCTGGGCCCCAGAAGGCATGGACCGAGGATCGCCGCCTCGGACGGCGCTCCTGAGGCACTCCGCGCCCCAAGGGCCCTCACCTTCGCAGTGTAACAAAAATCGCCTGGCGAAGGACCCAACCATATGCAGGTGTGAGTTCCGCAGTTGTGGGTATCGTCTTCGGTGGGAGCTCCCTATGGGCAACGAAACGCTGCACTGAATGGGGGAAACGCGTGCGAACTTTGCCCCTGAGGCTTTCGGTTGAGCTCCCTATGGGGCCACGAAGCGCTGTACTGGGTGGGGGAGACTCATGCGAACTTTGCCACTGGGGCCTTCGGTGGAGCTCCCTATGGGCTACAAATCGCTGTACTGGGTGGGGGAAACGCATGTGGACTTTCCCACTGGGGTCTTCGGTGGAGCTCCCTATGGTGCCACGAAGCGCTGCACTGGGAGGGGGAAACGCATACGGACGGTAGCACTGGGGCCGCTGGTGGAGCTCCCTATGGGGCCACGAAGCGCTGTACTGGGTGGGGGAGGCGCATGCGGATGGTGCCACTGGGGCCTGCGGTGGAGCTCCAAATATGGCCACGAAACGCTGTACTGGGTGGGGGGAACGCACGTGGATGGTGCCACTGGGGCCGCTGGTGGAGCTCCTTATGGGGCCACGAAGCGCTGCACTGGGTTGGGTGGGACGCATGTGGGCTGTAGCACTGGGGCCGTCGGTGGAGCTGCCTATGGTG